AAGGAATATTTAAATGAGTTGGTAAAAGGGTTATAAGCCAAGAGTATCATAAAGAAAATGCTTTTAAAATTGTACACAATACAACCAGCTCAATTAAAAAACAGCTGAGACGCATATTTTCAAGAATAGCCAAATTTTCTTTAAATACCTTTGGTGAACATAAACTGTCAATCCATGATCGACTCATTTAGAAATGTGATAAGGTGAATACAGATGGCAGCAAAGGAGAGGGTGGCTTAGTTCTATCTTAAGAGAACCCCTTCAGTAAATTCAGTGAAAACAACAAACATAAAGAAAAGTATAAAAGTGTGTATTTACAAAAATAATGCAGTCTTTCCATGCAACTCATCTGCACCATCAAAGTACTAGCACAACAAATGTATCAAGCCGATGTATATGAACATCGCTGAAAGGAGCAATAAAGGCCAATAAGAAACAAGGAAACAAATGCATTTAACATAAATATTCTAGAATTTCAGATGGGGCAGTTTCATTAAGTTCTTTTTTCTTCTTTTTTTTGCCCAGCTTAGTAGGGGGTGAAGAAATAGCTTGAGCGACGCCTAAAAATGTAAAGAATATTTAGCATGAAGGGTATGCAGCTACTTCATGGAGTCAAAAATTATTAAAACTCGACAAACCGATATCTAGCGAATCTCGGTCTGGCGAAGCCCATGCCTCTTAATACAGGCCGAGACCGGAAACGACCTCTCGGAGGGCGATTTGTTAGAGACATTCCAGGGACATTTGTACGTTTTGGTAGAACCTTGAGTTGGCGGCTACGGAACAATGAATCGTCCAAAGCCATTGCTGCATCGACAGCATCGCGACTCTCAAACTCAATGTAGGCGAAGCCTTTAGGATGGCCCGTGAACTTGTTGCACAAGATAGTCACACGGTTGATTGCACCACAGCCTCTAAAGTGAACTTCAAGCTCCTCTGCAGCTGAGCCATAATCAACCTAATAAGGAAATAACCAGACACAATTAAAATAGCATATATAAACAACTACAGCTAAATACGAATTTCGACAAAAATAAAATCAATACTGAAAAACTACTTTTCTCAACATGTCTCAAATGAAGTAGGACCAAGTCTATGGCTTCTCATACCCTAGTCTCTTGTGCGCCAACCCACAAACGTTTGGTTCAGCCTTGAACCGAGTCAAAGCAAGCATAACCACAACATTTGTGGGTTGGCACACAA